GGGCAGTGCAAAAGAACCGGGGGAAGCCTCTGAAAGCGGTGCTTTGCTGCGGGAGGGAGCGGGGGGGTGGGGGCAGCTGAGCAAGCCCAGGGAAGCCTCTGAGACCCAGTGCTGATCAGCTGAGAAGGGGGAGAGGGGGGGAGCGGAGAAGAGCACAAAATGGCTACTGGGAAAGCAGGGGAAAAGCTTTAAATACTGTAAAAATGGTGCTTTCCCCCTGCCCCTGGGAGGCTTCTGAAAGTAGCGCTTGCGGTGGGGGCAGGGGCAAGGGAGGTTCCCTGCCTTGCCCGTGCGTTTATTTCTATTCATAACTCAAAAAAAGTTCACAAGTTGAGTCATCACCCTCAGTATAGGAAGAAGGACCTTGAGAAGGAAAAGTTTTGCTTTGTGCGGAGACTCTGCACACAATTTGGAATCCTGAAAAGTCAGCATTCCCAATTGCATGGTAAAGCTCCACATGCAATAGCCTGTTTTCTGAGACTACCCTCCATCATGAGGAGACAGTTAAAGGTATGAGTGGGGCTACAACTCTCCCTGGTCACACTTTCAAGCTAGCTCTTTTTTGGAAGTCCAAATAGGGCTAAAGATGGGCCAAGAATATTGGGTGAGATGCAAGGAAGGGGCATGGTCGAGCATTGATGGCTTTGTTGAAGCAAAAGCAAACTGTGCTGCTTATACACCGCTCCCTAGTGCTGAAAGCACTCTCTGGGCAGTTTACAAATTAATTATGCAGGCTACAAATTACCGCTGCTCCCCCCCCCTCCCGGCGAGCTGAGTACTCATTTTACTGACCTCAGAAGTATAGAAGGCTGAGTCAGCCTTGAGCCGGCTACCTGGGATTTGAACCCTGGGTCGTGATCACAGTTTCTGGCTGAAGTACAGCGGTTTAATCACTGCGTCGCGAGGCTCATCTGTGCTGCCTCAGAAATAAAACAACTACCCATACCTCACTTCACAGAAAGCTTCAATTTTCAGTCGGATATTTTCCAGAGCATTGTTTGTACTCTGATTATTTAGGATTTGAGGGAGATAAACTAAAAATTACCTTTCACATTGCATCCAAAAGTACTGTATCATAATCTAGTTCTAGGATTAGCAATTATTCTCATTATAGTTTACATTTTGTGAATGCAGTTTAAAAGGTTCCATCCTTTGGTGTGGAGAGGAGTTGACATCTAAAGCTGTTCACTTTTATTCATGGCTCATTCTGTTCTTAGCATAATCTCACCTGAGCAGCATTAGGGTTAGTTATGTACAGTAGCAAAAACATAACCCAAAATGTCTGTGATTACATTTGGGACTTTGTAACACTGACTTGTGTGATTTCTTCCAGCCCTGACTTATTTAGTGGCTAGAGGTGATAAAATATCTCATTGTCCTTTTTGGCATTCTAGGTAAAAGCAAAATGGGGGGGGGGGGG